TCGTACGGCGTCTTCTGCAAGGGTCTCTCCCGCACCCTGCTCGCCTTCTTCGAGCTGGCCTGGCAGCTGCGCGCCAGCTTCCCGTACGTCTACGTGGCGGGCTCGGTGGTGCTCAACGTCCGCCTGCAGGTACACATCTAGACCCCGCCGGAGCCGGCGTCATGGCCGCCGCGGCGGCGGGCGGCGGGTGCCCCGAAGTCTCGCGAGGGTCCGCGGGGCCCGCCGCGCCTGCGCACTCGGCTCCTGGCGGTTCCTCCTGATGGCCGGCGGAGACGGAGGACGCGATACCGCGCCCTTCACACACGCGGGTGGATGGACAAACAGACGGACGTGGCGCACCGAGTGAGACCCGGACCCCCCCCCGCGTGAGAGCAGCAAGGACAGCATTCCCGAAGGAAGTTGGATGGACCACATACCCCGGGGCTGACGGACTCAAGTTAAGGCGCCTGCGGGCCTCGCGCTGGAGGGAAGGGACCCGGATGGAGGGGGCGGGGCCGGGGCCACACCTCCGGTGGGGGCCACGTGGAATTCCCGCCAAAACCTCGCGGCGCCGGAAGCAGAGCCGTGGCGGGGTAGTAAGGGGAGGGAGGAGGGGTCAGGGACTTCCGCCTCGGAAGCCGGAGCGGGTGGGGGGGGGGCCGGAAGCCAGTGCCAGGCGTGGCCGCGACCAGAACCAACACCACTCAGACGAGGGCAGCAAGGCGTCGGCAGGAGAGGCCCGCTGTCAGGGTATGTGCCCGGGGTGGGGGGGGGACGCGTGTGATACACACGTGCAGCGCATGCGTGTACGCACCGAGGTCATTGCAGACCTGGAAAGGTGGGAAACTACACCGCAGTCCCGTGTGAGCCAGCGTGCACGCTCGTGCGTGGATCCCGAGGAGCGCTGGTCCGGACGGCCTCCGTCCCTGCAGTGTTCCCTTGGTCTCTCTCCGCTCTGATTCAGAATTCAGATCTTACTTTGGAACGGTCCTCGGCTGGTTCAGAGTCGGTGCGGCCCGCGTGGGGTTCTGCAGACCTCCGTGAGAACGCGCCCTCCGGCCCTGAGGGTGCCCATCAGAACTCGTAAGCCCTCGGTTTCTTTAACTGTGAAGGCCAAACACGTCCACCTAGAAAGGCTCGAGGATTCAAGATAAGACTGCCTTCCCTTCTGGGCATGTGCACAGCGAACGAGCTGTTGCCGCAAATAGAACATTGCAATGTGAATAAAATACAACATTATAGAAAGCATGTCTGGGGAGCAATTTTTAGTCTCAAAGAGGAAAGTGCTGACGTAAGGGTGTGGAAAGGAACCTCACGTCATTCTAACAAAAGAATTGGATGGCGAAGGTGTTAACTTGGCAGGGCATGAACTCAGGGCCTTGGGCTCTCACGTGCCTTGCTTGCTCAGCTGGTACTTTACCACTCAAGCAATACCTCCAGTCTGGCTTTTTGCCTGTTAACGGGATATGAAGTCTCTTTTCTTTTTTTGGGGGGGGGGAGGGGTCCGGTCATGGGGCCTGAACTCGGCCTGGGCACTGTCCCTCAGCTCTTCAGCTCAAGGCTAGCGCTTTACCACTTGAGCCACAGCGCCACTTCTGGCTTTTTTCTTTTTGCTTATGTAGTGTTGAGGAATCGAACCTAGGGACCCATACATGCAAGGCAAGCGCTCTACCACTGAGCCACCTTCTCAGCCCATGAAGTCTCTTTTCTTCCTGAGATCCTCCAGATTTCAGCCTCCTGAGTAACCAGGATCAGAGGGGTGAGCCACTGGGGCCTAAACGAGTTTTTGTTGCCCAGGATAAAATTTTAAACTTGGCGTAATGTTCTAGACTCTATTCTCTATGATTTAAAATGATTGTCCTGTGGAATGGAGGCATGGTTCAAGTAACAGAACTCATGCCTAATAAGCACAAGGGCCTAAGTTCAATCCCCAGTACTTCCAAGACAACAGGAAGTCACTTGTCCTGTCCTCCTCCAGCACCTAATCTAGCTCTGGACTTGTGGCCCTCTTCATGCCTTGTCTCCAGCTAAACACTTGTGCAAATCTTCCTCTCCCATCTGTTCTCTCTGCCTTTTTACTTCTCATAGATACTCTTATCTATAAAGCTAAGTACAGTGGCTTTTTTTTCCATTTATTTTTACCAGATTCATCTAACCAGATTGGAACTCACTTCTTTAGATCAGTCTACCAACAGTGTTAACAATTCACAGCAGGTTTCATTGTGCATTACTGGCTTTAAAAAAAAAAAAATAATAGATTTCCTAGTCACTCAGAGTTCAGGAGCCAAAACATTTTAGTCTAAAATATCAGGAACATAGTTAATGAAGCAGTAAAAATGCCAAGAGAGACCGTGAGTATTGGTAGTAAGATTGTAAGCTTGGCAAGTTAACCTCAATTCTTCACAATTGCTCTCAAAGCTTGATACAGATTTTTCTTTCCACATAATGCAATTTAAGTTTCCTAGGGAGAAAAGCATTGTGCCCAAACTAAATCACTTATTACACTAATTTATAAGGACTGTATTCCAAGTAATCTGGAGGCCAGGAATTTTCTTGTCCCTGCCCTGACCTAAAGCCAAGAGCATTGGCTGAGGCAAACTAGACAGTGGGTGCTGTTGAATACAGAAGTGAGTGTCTGCTTTTGGGGTGTTTTATACATAGCAGTCAACTGATGGTTTTTTGTTCTACTATAGCTATAGGCCACAGTTTTCCATGTGAGGTACTGTTTATTTGTTAAAGTACAGATCACTCTTAGCATTTTCTTTGTCTACAAATGCTCATTTCTGTCTTTAGCTATAAAAGACATAAGAGTAGAAATATGCCAGGCACTGGTGGCTCACACCTGTAATCCTAGCTGCTCAAGAGGCTGAGATCTGAGGATCAACGTCCGAAGCCATCCCAGGCAGTAAAGTTGTGAGATTCTTTTCTCCAAAAAAGCACCAGAAAAGTGGAAATGGAGTTGTGGTTTAAGTGGAAGAGTGCTAGCAAAAAAAAAAACTCAGGGACAGCACCCAGACCCTGAGTTCAAGTCCCATGACTGAGAAAAAAAAATGTACAGATTGTTAATTTTAAATGTGAACCCACATGTTTCTTCAAATAAGTGATAAAATGTTGGCATGAACATCGTCCAGCACACAAAGGGGAATGCTGTGCACACTGAGCAGGCTGTGTATAAATATGCCTAACTGCATTACTCCTGGCTCTCCCTGCAAGTACCAGGAAAACCTGAGGTATCAGGCAGGCAGTACGGGCACTGGCATCAAGATATAAAAGAGCTACAATATCTTAACTGTAAATCTAAAATCTGAACCTCCAAAACATTTAGTTTGTCCAAATTTTACTCCCTGTGTCAGGATAAAGTTTGTTTGTGCTCATGAATGCCAATGTATCACACCTATAATCCTTCCTCCTCAAAAAGCTGAGAATCCTGGTTCAAGTCTACGGGATATCTCTCTAGTTATCCAGCAAACAGCTGGAAGTGGAGCTCTAAATCCTCTCTTTAGTTAGGGTTAGAAGAGAGCCAGGAACCTGAGCTATTTCACAATAGTTGACAAAATGTTGTCTTTCACTAAATCTTTATTTCAACACCATTAAAATGTTTTCCTTTTGCATTGTCCCACTGCTGAATAAGCACTTGCTATTGCTCAGTGTAAACAAAAGTAAATCAGAAATGTGATTTCGTCAGAGCCTAGGAGTTGAGGAGCTGGAATTGGGAACAAACAAAAAGTACAAAACCAGAAGGTTGTCAACGTAAACTTGTGTCTTTGTTTTCAGAGGTACTGAAGTGAATGGTTGAAATGCCATCTTTTGACCTGGAGTAAAAGGTTGTGGATCAGGAGCTCCACCTATTGGCAAGATTTTTAAAGTTCAGGAATAGGTTTTAGGAAATTAATTGGATCTATAAAGGTAATTGATGTTAAGCTGCCTATGGTTTAAATTGTAATTATATTTCTATTTAATGTAACAGAAGGAACTTTCTAACACAGTTTTCCAAGTCTTCAGCAGAGTTATTTGTAAGGTTGCAAGAACAGCATATTTAACATCAACCAAAAATAAATGTAGAAACAAAATTTACGAGTAAGTTTCATGAATTATGAGAATAATTCATTAGTTTAAATATATAGTGTGCTGTTTACTTATATTTTACCTTATTAAACTGAAAAGTAGTAAAACAGGTTATTTACTCAGGCACTTATTGATCCAATATTTACTGTCAAATATTTACAGGTCAGATCAGGCCCTACTCTTGTGGCATTTTCTTGATCAAAGCATAAAATTAATCCCTTAAGAAAAAAGTATTTTTTTAAGTCTGTGAATGAAACAAAGCAGAATAACTAGACAGACTGATTCAAAAGGTATAACCAATATTAAGAACCTAAACAAAACCTGTTTCTGACAAATGAACTCAAGATGAAACATAATTAAGATTTTCAAAACATCTAAAAGAAAATACAAAAAAAAATCTAGGAAAGCTTGGTGATAACGTTTTAAACACAGTACCAAAAATGTTCGTTTTTAAAATTAACCTCTGCTATGTAAAAGAATCAGAACATAAGCCACAACTGAGGGAAAATATTTGCAGAACACATGTCTGACTAAAGGCCGTTATCCAAAATATGAAAAGAATTCTTATATTAAACAAGAAAATAACATAGAACTGGAAGTACGTGATGGAGATCTGCAGCTCCTTCACTCTCCCTTGGTGGCCCTCCTAGCCAGAAATCCCATAATGCAGAGATCTAGTGGGTCACAATTTGAGGCCAGCCCAGGGAAGAAGTGAGACGCCATCTGAGCAAATAAGAAGAGCAAGTGTTTAACAGTGTACCTCTTGTGTAGTTTGCAGTCCAGTGTGTCAAAGAAGTATGTAGAGGAGGATAATGGTCCAAAGGCCCTCTGGTAAAGCCAAACTCGATTCAAAATGTGTGGCAGTGCCCACCCAGCAAGTGTAAGTCCCTGAGTTCACCTCAGTACCACCAAGAGAAAAAAGGAGAGATAAAAAACAAAAAAAGGACACATTCTAAGTATTGTTTCTTTACAAAACACCTCTTTGTTTACAAAAGTAAGTTACCTTTGACAGAAGTTTTCCTGTGGATCAGGGCTGTCCGTGTGGCCTGCTCCGGCAGGTCTCCCAGGGAAGTCAGTTACCGTGCTGCACACCTCATTGCATCTTTAGGAAACTGCCTTGGCCTCCCAACCTTCAGCACCATCACCAGCAAAGCAAAGAAATGAGGAACCACGGGAGTCTTAGAGGATGGCTGTGCTTTTAGCAGTAAATACTTCAATTAAGCATGTCAGTTTTAATACAGTGCTATCCCATTCAATACATTACCCTTTCATGTGCTCAGGAAAACCACTTCCTCCAACTCCCTCCACTGCAATATTGCTCCACCACAGGGATCTGGAAACGAATCCACAGTCCCCAAGTATGTTTGCACTGGTAAATTATTAAACGTACGGTTAACTACTGACCTAAGGTGAAGCAACGGCTAAAAGAGAGGAAGTGCAGCCTGTGATGGCTTGATCACTTGGTAATACAGATTTGAGAAAACATCTTAAAACAAGGGCGCCTGGAGAGGCTGTGTGACAAATATAACTTGTAATTGCTCTCAGCTTATATAGTTGGTGGTAGAATTACAGTGTTCTTCCTCTCATGTATTTTTAATTTTCTGTTCTCAAGTCTCTTTCCTCAGACATTAATAAAATCTCTCCCTTGTAAGGCAATCACAGTAATGGGATAATGTCTGATGTTATATGTGTTTGAGTAGACTAAGAAGAGTGATAGGGAAAGCCATTGAATCACCTCCAATGACCTCTTTTCCTGCCTTGAAACTTGCACCTTGTCATTCATTTCCAATGAGAGGTGGTTACTTTTTAGTTTTAGTAACTTCTGCAGTCCCTCCGCAGAGGGTC